CCCTTAGAAACCTCCCGCAGCGCCGTGACCGGATTGTGTACTCGTCTGCTTGCGGGTACACCCGATTTGCGACAGATGGCGCTGCGGCGAGAAGAAAAAAATTGGAATCGAATTTGCATGGAACTCTATGGGAGAGTGCGCGATGTAAACCGAGAGCACGACAGTCCTCCATTGAAAATCCACGAGAAACCTTCTCCGTCAGTTTAGCCGGTCGCCACCGGTCGCCCACCTGTAGTGAGAGTTCGCGGTGCTCCACATAGATGGCATCAAAGAAAAAGAGAAAAACGACACAATCCGGTCGTTCATTTCGCTCTCGTATCCCCACCTGTCTATCTTCCATCCTGGTCGCAAGTGCGCATGCCCTGCGTCATCGTGTGGCCAGGGGGAAAGCAGACGGAAAGGCAGAGACGCTCGCGGACGACCAATGCATTCGTCACCGCACTCGTATTGCAAACGCGGTCCACAAACCACGTGACCCCTATGAAGCAGTTGGAAATTGTCTGTAATACAGGCTCAGTAAAGGTTCGTCCCTTGGTTGAATAGATGATGACTGCCCGGCGGTGTCTTGCGGGGCCAGTCGTTTGATGAGCCTTGTTCGGTGGGTGATCAGAAGAGTGCGACAGATGCGGGAGGACTTCGTCTAAACCCTATATTTAGACGTTACGAGCTATTGTACACAGTATATACAGAGCAAAGGGAATTCCCGTCCTCCAAATTAGTCCAAGTCCAAGCCAAAAAAGGGCTTCTCTCTCCCCCGTCACGGGCTTTTGAAGACGCTGACCCCCTCACTCTCGAGCGAGGATCAACCAATCATTTCAAAGCTTTGCTGGAGCCACGTGATATCCACCGTCCTATAGTTGGCAAGGGCGTCGATACACATTCGTTAACTTGCCAACGGACTACAGCCGACAGCTCCGTAACTTCGTCCGTGCATCCCGTTGCAGACATAGCGGCGCCTCTCCGGAACCCCCAGGTTGAAACCCAAGAAGCCCCGTAGAATGCGCAAGCCTCCAGATTCAAAATAAAAAACAACATCTCTTCCCGAGGGGTCATCCCGAAGGGGGAGACACAGGAAGACGCTCTCCAGGGGGGCCGCGTCGGCAGAAAGGCCCACGCGGTCTCCCGTTAGAAAAATAAAACTACACAAAACGACCGGGGAGGGAGCATCATACACGCCGCCGGACAAGACGACCGTCGCCCGGCCGATCGAGAAACCAGACGTCTACTCGTCGGGAAGCAACAGACTGTCACAAATTCAGTGCTCTGGTACCTATTCATCAACGCTAGACGCATGAAGGTTACGGTGTTTTTCAATAAACAGCTTTTTTTTTTTTTTTTTTTTTTAGTTTTGATGGTGTCAAGATACTAAAGGCCCGTTCACACTCTTGCGACCGAGTTAGACCGAGAGAGACCAGACCGGTTTTTAAGCCTCTTGCGACTTCTTAGGACCAGCTCCGCTGCATCGCATCCGGTTCTAAGAAGTCGCAAAAGGCTTAAAAACCCGTCTGGTCTCTCTCGGTTGAAGTCGGTCGCAAGAGTGCGAACGGGCCTTAAGACTCTGTACGAGGCGCTTGTAGTTGCGTAAACCTCTAAATGAAATTAACATTTCGTTGCCATGAGTCGTACCTGGGGCGTGCCGAAGACGAGTATTCCAAGGACTTACATGGGCGCCACAAGTGCGTAGGGCGTGGAAGCTTATAAGTCTTGTCACGGTGACACGAAAAAACAATACAGCGAACTAACGTCTGGATGCTCAGACTTCACATCGGTTTCTGTCTTCAAATTCTTTCTTCACCAGCCATCAAAAGGTGGGCAGACTGAATTTTGGAAAGGGTCTATTTATTGTGACGAATTGCCCGTCGTTATTACGACGGGATTTTAGTTTCTTAGAAAATTCCGGAAGCTCTTTTTGCGGCGCAAAACTTGAGCGAACGCAATGTGAGTGCAGCGGCTAAACAGGACCTATCGATGAAAATGACCTGTTTGCCGCTAGGGGCGCCCTATTCAGGGCTTCTTGAGCGCCGCGTTCACAGCGGATGCTAGAAACGACACCTCACTTAACTTTCGAGAAGACTCACAATTTTGGTGGTGCTTGTGAAGCGCACGTTTCGGAAGCGTTGTGGAACTCGCGCTCTGCAACAGCGGACACATGTATGGCCAGGGCATTACAAAGCACCTGGATGGAGCAGGACTTCTGTACCCCTTCAGACGAACTAATTCATCTGCCCGACATTCTCACAATGTTTGCGACAGACGTTATCATGCAAACGTAAGGAACTGGTGACGCTTCGAGATACTAGAGAGGTTTGGTAGATCGTTCGGATGACTCCGAAAACGGTGCCCGATACTCCGCCGCCGTCTTTGCGCATACATCGTATCGTTATCGGGTATCGTTATCGGGTATGGTAATCGGGTATCGTTATCGGGTATCGTTATCGGGTATCGTTATCGGCGGTATCGGAATGATCTACTAACACTCTATTACTTAGGTTCGCAGAGCGAGCACCGTACGACTCTCCTCCGCTACGGCTATACACCCCTTTCGAAATACGGCTCTTTGTTGGCAGCTGCGAAATGCCTGCACAATGGCGGACTAAAACCTCAACGTCACGGCACACTGAAAAAAGCACACAGACAAAAAAGGGGATGAGCGCAGTGACGTTGCACTTTCGACGCTCTTTGATTGGCTCGTCTACTCGTAGGCCGCGCTCCGACGTTCGCTATCTTATGGAATGACTTGCACGTTCCTCGACGCAGTTGTTCCGCCATTGTGCAGGGGTTCCGACCTTCTAATAATCGGCACGTGACTTCTGAAAGGGGTCTATAGCGGAGGAGAGTCGTACCTGCCCGAAAACACCGAAACTCATCGCCACAACAATGCTCTCAGTAAAGCAGACAAAAAAAAAAAAAAGTGTACAACAAGTTTGTGCGGAAGCCTCTTCCTCGTAAATTCCAAACGCGCAGAGACACAGTCACTGTGCACTCTGTTGTACAGAACGCGACACTGTTAGCGCGAACAAGCGATCGCCGGTTTTCCAGTTTTTCCCCTTGAAACCAAAAAATGTCATCGAGGTTAGTATTGCTACGGAAAGAGCTCATTTAGTTTCATAATGTAACCGATAAAATTTCGTGCTCGCTAATACCATTTACAAGTAAAATACGAAAATTAGCCGATGTCGTGTTCGCGCTAACAGTGTCGCGATGTGTACATACACATTCTCAGCTAGAATAATTGCGTCGTAAACGACAGACACTTGCGAGAGGTCAATATCTTGCCCGTTGCCTCCACGAACGTCATTCAACGCAGCGGCACGATTGTCTTTGAAGTATATGAAGTTGAGTGTATAATGTTTAGTTCAACATGTGGTCTACAAATGTGCCATCAAATGCTTTCTAATCGTTTTTTTTTAATAAACACTTTTCAATATATTGTTTTCTGATTAAGAAGTAAAATGACACGTCAGGTCTTATTTTTCAGCTGCGCTCTAATCCGTCTGAAAGCATTTTGCTGCCCGTGGCTTCCTTCTCTAATTCATCTGTACATAGCGATAATCTCGAAGGCCTCGTAAGGGCCGCTCCGGCGTCCATGGTCCCTGCGAAGCGAAAGGTTGGCTCCACCGCAGACACTGGCGCTGCTTAGCGCCACCAGCCGGGAGCCACGCGCACGTCTTGCCGGCTGCCTTGGTATTGCGCATGCTCCGCGTTGACAGGCATTGTGAAGCTAACATGGGAGGTTGTTAAAAACCAAAAGCGCAAACACGAAGGAAAAGAAGAGGGGACAGTACAGAGCACTTTGTCCCGTCCCCTCCTCTTTTTCTTGGTGTTTGCGCTTTTGATTTTTAACAATGTATAACCAACCAGCCCAAAAGTTAATTTTAATTCTAACATAGGAGACCCTCGTAATACTATCTGCAGACGGCCTCCCTCTCCGTGTCCGCAACCTGCTGTGGCGACTTGTCTCTTCCGAATCCCTTGCGCCCGCCCTTGCCTGTAGGCTGCGACGAGCTCCGTGACTTCAGTCGAAACGTAGAGAACGAAAACACAAGTAAATAGATGAATACAAAATCAAAATGGCGCAGATAATAGTTATATTTCTTTGCTGGTGTACCTTTTATGCACGAAGAAATAGGGGAAAAATATAAAAGGGTAGTGCAACGATTTTAATGTCGAAAGAATTGCAACTTTGCACTTATTATATTGTTTATCCAAGCACAAGTGATTTTACCTAGCGATAGCTCGCACTGCCTGGTGATATGATCAAATACACGTAATCGCAAGTAATAAGGTTGTGCTTCTCGAAAAAATACGCGGACAACGTTTCGGGCGGACGCCCTTCTTCAAGTAATTACTTCCAGCAATTACTTGAAGAAGGGCGTCCGCCCGAAACGTCGTGTATACCTCCTTGTCCACGTATTTTTTCGAGAAGCACAACCTTATTACTTGCGATTACGTGTTTTGGCTCAATGTGCTCGCCAGCGACCCCATTCTCTTTGATCAAATACAACCTAAGAAAGACAGAGCGGAGGGGCAAAAGGGCGGAAACTATACCCGTATTCACCTCCCTAGTAAAAAAATAGTTGGGCTCCTCACGTAGCATTTCTAATTTCCGGCTCGAAACGCCAAACACGCTCGAAACGCCAAAAGCACCGGTTTCTCCTACAACGATCAAATCTCGCAAGAAGTACTCCGCTCCGCGTATGAACAAAACGCAAAGGTGGAAACGGGTATCGGTTCGGAAAGCTGAAATGGAGAGGAGCGACCTCCTTTCCACAACGGCTTTCCTCGTGGGCGCCCTTTCCTGCCTTCTCCAACTTGTCTTTCTTACAAAAAAGAGTGAAGGGAAGAAACATATCGGCTCAGAAGAACGAGAAAAGGTATGATATTTTGGTCCCTAGGATAGGTGGCGGAAGCTACCTTCTGTATTCAAGGATGCAGCCGTTAGCATGCTCTATATATCTATCAGAGCTCTGCCATCTATCCATCCATTCATTCATGCTTTCGTCACTTTCGTCTGGATAGGCGCTTCAATCGCAGCGCATATCGAACTTGACTTCGTTTTCGTGTGTGTGTGCCGTGTGTACTCTCTGCACGATGAGCAAGTTCATTTTGATTAGGTGGGTCCTCGACAACGCGCTGGATGTCTGCCCGCTCTCGGCCTTGGAAAGCAAGGAGATCCGTGAACGTCTCACGAACGACGCGGACGCCATCGGACCTTTGCGCGGGTCCCGCGTGGATGTCAACAGATGGGAAGAGCCCGAGGAGGCGATTATCATCGACGCCGGCAAGTCCTTTCCTCTTGCTTTTCTTTAGCCAGGTGTCCATTTGAAACGGATTGCGGGCGTGTATCTGTGCGACTCGTCAACGTATCGAGCGTCACGCTCAGGTTGTTTTCCCCACACCAACGTAGAAGTTGGATGTGGTCGTCTTTTTTAGATGGACCGTGTTTCATGGAAGCGTGGGCTGCAAAACACGCCTGACGCACGCACAATCGCGCGTTCTGGCTTCACGTAATGCGCGCGCGAGGACGCTTGCATTTGCGGACGTGAAGGCGTCGTGATTTGCCGTAGCATGTCGTTTTTGCGACTGCTCAGTTATTCGCCAAGTTTCTCCTTTCCTCTCCACGCCTATAAAAAAGTATAGAACTGCACGCGCGCACGCTACCACTGTAAACAGCCAACTTGTTAACAGGCCCTTTGTGCGATTTTCGTTCCAATCAAGTTATAATATGCCCCGACATGACACAGCTTTGTGGTTTCGTCGCACTACCGCAAAGACCAAACAACAGGGGCATTTGATATTTCCTCTCATGTGGACTGTGCGGTCAAAGCAAGTATAGGTTTCCTATCGACATAGTTTTCTTTATGCGCTTTGTTCATATTTCCTGTCTGGCACAGAATTATTCGCTGTCAGGTACCACGTTGCCACACCGCGCAACAATTGTTTATTCGATGATTTGATAGGATAACCAAAATGGTTTTAGAAACCTCCACAAGGCTTTGTTGTGATATGCAGAGCTTCTAAGAGCGCTTTAATGATCTCGTATTCGTTCAGAATTCAATTAAACGGCGTTTCATGATCCGACGGTCGACGAAAAATGGCCAGTATCGGTTGTTTCTACTTCGCAGCTATAGTAACCGAGGCTACAAAAATAACGTCGTGATTTTTCATTTTATTTGTTTTTTGTTGCGGGAAGACAATAGTGCAACTTTCGCTCCAGAAACCTGTCTCACTTTCTCCGGGTGAGAGGTCTTTTGTCAAGGTTGTCTTATCGGTGAACTCTTGATCCAAACAGTGCAGAGGACAAAAGATCGTGCCCCACGTTTATGGCGCGTTCACACTGGAAGCGGATCCGCAAACGCAAAGCGGATCCGCGCGATCTCAACCGTAAAGCGGCTAGGATCGAGCAGGGTTGCCAGGTGTTTGAACTCCAAACGTCTACGAGATATAGCCCAAACATAGCCAAATGTCGATCCAGAAAAATAACCCCAAAATAGAAAAAAAAAAAACTCACCATTTGAAACATTTATTTTGAAAAGAAAAGACACATAATACATTTTTATCCATCAAATGCCCCAGAAATGGCGTCCCTTGCACGTTCGACGAAATTCCTGGAACGCTCATACAAGCGCATGACAACATACCTTCCACTATATTGGGACGCTTGGTGACCAGAATGACGTCACGGGAGAACTATGCAGAATTCAAACAACCTAAAGAATGCGCAGAACAGGTGCTGTTAAGGCCGCAAGGAATCGCGCCGTCACTTGTTGAGATGGAAAAATAACAGCACATGCTTGCATTCGGAGGTAAACAATTGCACAAAGCGCGCAAAAAGAAGACGAATTAGTTTGCTGTCGCAAACTTATCAGGGTTAAGGGACTGAAGCGCCAAATGTTCACGTAACTTACTTTAAAAATACATTCAAACCTATAAAACCAAGTGCTTTCAGGCATTTTGGTTCCAGCACAGGTCAGAAATAGCTCAGTGCACAGGTCAGAAATAGCCCAATGCACAGGTTAGAAATAGCCCAATACTAGCCAAATAGCCAACTACCATTTTTTCCCGCCAACTGCAAATAAAACTAGCCCAATTTGGCTATTTATAGCCCAACCTGGCAACCCTGGGATCGAGCGGTTGGAGAGTGTTTTTGTCAACCGCTTCGGGACCGATTTCTCCCAACCGCTTTCATGAACCGCAAAGCGGTAACCAATCACAACGCGACGCTGACGTGACGTCAGTGACTTTCGAAGCAAGATGGCACCTGTCGCCGGTGGGCGTCCAAGGGGCTGTAGTCCTAGCGCCACAGCAGACAAATCAACGGAAAAACGTGATGTTCACGTCCGTCACTTGAATCCATCGCGAAAAAAAATGACTCGTAATTTTAACGGGCTTCGCACCGGTGATTTGGTTCGGATAAGAGTTTATTTATTATTCTGGGTGCCACAGGCCCGAAGCTCGCTGCCTTGTTAGTCGTCGGTAGAACGTCGGAACCGGCCCCTGGTCGACCGAAACGTCAGCTTTTCTACTCACGATAGTCGCGTGAACTATTGAAAGCTTTCGACACCATGCATGAACAAAACGAAGGCCGATAGAGACGTCGCGAGCCTGATTGCGTAGCCAACGCACTACCGCAGCGGGCAGGGTACCTGCGCTAGCTCGACCTGTAACGTTTACAACTAGCAAGAGAAAACAAAAGAAACATACTCAAGGAACAAAGTGTATGTACCAGACAATGCAGGGGTAATCCATACGGCGTTTATTTGAGCTTAATGTGAAACAAACAGTAGACTCGGTCGACGTGCGAGTGACGAGAGGAGAGTCCGCCACCAACGAAGTCACGACCGGCTAGCACCGAACACATTCCCCGCACCACGGTACACCCCACCGCTCACAACTTTGAAAATGATAAGAGCGAATGAGGGGGGAAAACTAGCCCTCTAACCGGGAAAGCAGGGTCAGCTATTCATGCGGGAAGGGTCCACTTCGAAAAAAAAAGGTCGGGGGCATCCTGAGTCAGCAAGGCGCGACTAGCTGGGCTTTGCTTGTAGGCGAAGTAGAGGGAATCACAGACGAGTTTGGCGAGTCCATGCCTTTTTTTTTTTTTTGCTGCCTAAACTTATGATGCGTGCGAACATCCCCAAGAAAAATCTTCAGAGTGACAAAATCGCAAAATGTTGGCTTTGGATCGTGGATTAAAGTGGATTTTGGATTTTAAAACAGGGTTGCCAAGCGCAAGTCTCAAAAGATCACGCGTGATAGCCGAGAAACTGCCAACCGCCTCTCGGTGTGTCTGAACGGGGTCGCTCGCGAACCGCATCCGCAACCGCTTTGCGAACGCGGATCCGCTTCCAGTGTGAATGCGTCATTATGGCGCATTCACGCATTCCAATCTTGTTCAGTTCAAGTTGTGCGAATGTCGCCTTGACTGTTCGTCTAATAAATTCCCTTGCCTTGCCGCCTTCTATACCTTTCCCCTCTTGTGTGGTGAACGAACGCTGGAACCCTTGATTTTTTTTTTTCCCTGCGCATGAATATGCTTTCAGAGCCTTATTGCAGCATTACGATGGCAGTTTTTTTTTTTTTTGCTTCTGATATTTGTTTACACGGTTGGTGCTCGTTGTGGCGCCATTGATTTACGCATGATTATTTTTGTGTTGGTGGGAGCGGGCCGCCGGCCAGACTTCACTGGAAGGACCACGGCCAGCCACAGGCCGGCCAAAAGACTTCCGCGGTCTAGAACAAGGAAACTCACTTCACTATACGTTTCCATACCGGTGTAAAAGTATATGGCGTGATAATGATTTTTTCCCCCTTCTGAATTGACAGCGGCGTCGGTTCCTTGAGAATCCAAAACATGTAAAACTTCTACAAAGCTCTGTACCTCTTGCGCAAATATTATGTAACGTCGCAATTAAATATCAGGATGAAATGTTCACTGTAGAAGATAACGAAATGGGAAAGCAAGCCAACCTTGTATACCTATATCCCCTCGCAAAAATTTGTAGTTTCTTGTTTGCGCTACCTACACGGTCTTGACAGCTGTTTGTGCCGTATCACCCCTGAAAATTGTACTAGCAATAATTAAGTCTTCCTTTTTCTTTCTCCACACAACGTTTTTAGGGTTGAAAGAGATGATGAGGAAGAGAAGGCAGTGGCTTGCATCGGAAGCCGCTTCGGAATCCCAAGCCAACCCGCAAAATGTAAGTGCAGCTTCCTTGGGACATGAAGGCGTAGTGCCGTCCAAAGCATCTTGGGGGTACCCCTTGGCCACAGTTCCGGTTTCGATTTGCCAACCTGACTTCACAACATCCTGTCACGACCAAATACAATGCTTGAATTTTCGAATATGTGACTTTCCCGAAATTTATAATTGTGTGGCCTACCAATTCAATCAAAAAAGCAAATTTGGGGAAAATGGGGGAGGAGGGGGGGGGGGGGCTCTTATCATGCCAGAGTTTATGCGCACGTAAAGAGTACTACAAAGGAACATGGAAGTATATACTCGGTCTGTCACCCTGTTCCATCTTCTCCTCAATGGGCTTCTTGAATGATCTGCGAGTGCGGAGGGTCATGGTGCAGTCGGGAGCGGTGGCCATGCCTTTTGAAAGGTATGGGACGTGGACGGGCCATACTCCTATCCTCGCTGAGCCTAAGGCATGTCTAGAGCCACTAAATGAGCGGCGCTTAGAGTATCGGCACTCTGTTCACGACATTGTGTAGGGCGCCGCCATTTTGGTGCTTGTGCAGACAAGACGCCACTGCCGATCGTCATGACTCAAAAGTATGACTTTTTCAGCATTAGGTTCGCTCGTAGGAAGCTCGTGTATTATCGATTTAAACATTTAATGAGGACGAAAAAGCGTTTCCTGTGATTTTAGATAAACCTTCAGATAACTGGCAATCATGATTTTAAGCCACAGTATGGCCAAGTGTCGTTACTCTGAAGCGCAGCTTATTTAGTGGCACTTAGGCAGGTCCTTAAGGGCTCTGGAGGTCAGTGTTTCAACGGGAGCTTTCATGAAGATGAATAGGTGCACCGCAAACGGGCGCTGCATTTATTTTCGTGCAGTGCTGAGATGCACTACCTCGTCACCGGGACGACCGAAATCGAAACCATGCCACCCTCTTCATGACCAAAGAGGTCTTATAATACTACGCGCGCAGTAGTGCATGCAGAGATTTTTGGAAGTAGTCTATTCAATACTTACCAATGCCTGTTTCAATTTGGATGAGTATCACCCCGGTGTGCTGTGCCTATCTATAGCCTCCTCTATACTGACAATGCCTGGCAGATCGCCACAAGACGCAACCGCCGGAAGTGAAAAGGTAGAGCGGCAGACAATGGGTGAGAGGAGAGTCATGTAACGGGTGTTTTGCTGCGGCGAAACGCCGAAACCAACACCTTCTAGAAAGAACGTAGTAGCGCTCCGATTGGTTACATCACAATGTCGGAGAAGGAAGGCCATGGCACAACTACTGGAAAAAATATGTGGTATAGACGTGAAAAAAATGTTTCTTGTCGAGCGACGCGGTGGTATTCATGCGCGTTTATCCGACATGAATATACGTTTTAAAAGCGCAGTCTTGTAGAATTTATTATATATATAATATAAACATAATATACAATACGTTATCAAGGTTGAAAGTACCAAATTTATACTTATGATTATCCCCGTAACCGCGGGATTATGCGCAGTCCTCGCAGCTCCCCACACTTTTCGAATGAACGGGCTCTGGTGCAACGTTTTCTTCCCGCAAACAGGTGGGCTTCGATTCTGGTAAATTTATGTTGTGTGTGAGTTGCTGACTGTCTGAAAAGAAACGCTGAAACATTTCAGAAGGGAAAGGAACGGTAAAAATATCCAGTCATCGCCGCGGGAGCGACACAAGCGAGATGGGTCAACAACGTTAAGCCTTTTGTCCCACAGTGCTGCTGTTGCTCTTGTGTATGTTCTTCCGATACTTCCGGTCGTGTTTCTGTCGTCACCGCAGACTCGGGTGTTTTTTTTTTGTGTTCGTTTCATATTATTTGATTGGAAAAACGTACAGGAAACATACCTGCTGCTTGTACAGTTCTGGTATGACACCACCACTATTTCTTGTTATTATGCATGCAGCTTGTTTGGTTCAGTGTTCTGCATAACTGGAGATACCGGCACCGCTATGGGTTCCGCGTCTGACTACTGTGGCAGTCAGTTTGCTTGCCGATATGATTCGATGTGGCTGGTATGATTTTGCGTCCAATGGCGTAGGCGAAGTCATCTTTCAGCAAAACATACATCATTTACCACCGGTATCGTTACACATTCCATACATGTCGAAACAGAACATAGACTGACGTTGAGCTCGCACACATTCCTCGGTCACTTCTTCACAGAGACGATGGCGACGTCTTTGGGCGACTGTCTCGAATAATGTGCACCACAAGTACCCGACAGCCACACCAGCCGTACCGCACAGCAAAGCCAACCTGCGTGGGACGGCGACAAACGGATCGTGACATCAAGCCGAAGAGACTGCATCACTGGTCGACAGTGGCTTGGCCATCTCGGCTTCTTTCCGTTCCGTTGGCTCCGTCTTCGGCTTGGCGATATTGCAAATCGCCGTGCCATCCACGTCGCCACTAAGCCATGACTAAGCAGCTAATAAGCCGCGTCTCGCTAGGCGGCTGCAATTGAGGCCTGCGGTCCGAGAAGTGCGAGGTAGTGCTGACGTCGCTTCCTTCTGATTGACGTGTAGGGTGCGTAGTCCTGGTGATCGTGGTTATCAACGAACACAATGCTTATTTACTTTTTCCTCAGGTAAGTTTGCTCTTTGCAAATTAAAAAAAAAAGTGCACCATCTGTGGGCAATGCTGCACAAAATCGTAGCGAGATAGGTTACGAAACCGAATTTTGCGGTCGATTTAAGGATCCTGGCCGCTACTTGGGGCACCCGATATAATACCTTTAATTTCCCTTCGTTAATTACGCTCATCTGTTGATTCTTTGATAGCTTAAACCATTTCGCAAATTAACAGCTTTAGAGTATGTAATATATGTGCCCAGTTTTCCATTTCTTGAGCAAGCTGTTTGAAGACTTTAATGAATGCTATTCAAACTGCTTGATGCTGTAACAAGTTTCTGATTGCGAGAATTGTACTCCATCGGTTCATTCTAACCACTAGAGATGCGAGGGTTGAGTAATTCCATATTCCAATCCTGCTTCTCTAGTAGATAGCTTGCATTGACATAATTTGGTCCTTTCTGGTGGCCAAACTTCGAGCGTTTTCTTCGTTTTCTTCACTGCATTTTTTTTACACTGAAGACGTCGTACGTCGAAGCAAGCAATGAGTAGGAGTAGCTGCCACCACTTTGATATGACATCACATACAACTGAGGCAAAACGACATCATCTACAGCCCTCGGAGGTGTTGGTTTCCTAGCTCCTTGCAGGTGTCTTCCTTTAACTCGTGTGTATGAACGGTTGTTTCTATATCATTGTTTTTGAGGAATTTTGCACTATTGTCGGCATTTGTGAGTTTCCCTGTTGCCTTGACAGCTCGCAACCGTTGGAGGGTTGTGCCTGTAAAAGCTTGAACTTAAGAAAAGCCAGTTTGTCTGACACAGCCGTGAAAGCTTTGGAAGGTGTCGTCGATCCCCCAAACAGAGACAGGAAAAGAACCGAAAATTAAGATACCACTGAACATGCTCTTCATCCTTAATTCACAAGTATGCAGACATCTATGTCAATTTATGCTGGACAGTCTGACAAGAGCTTTGCTCACAAATGTTTATTGCAAGTATGCACATGTGCTTTGGATGCATAAAAGTGAATACACCCCCCAGTTCCGACGAGCTTCATCAGAATGCTGGCAAACTTAGTGTATCATATAGTTATGCACTTAACTATCTCTGATAGCATTTTATGGTAAAAGATAGCTTTTTCAGTTTACTTGCATGCGAGATCATCATTACGGAAGGCTCCCGGCAAGATGTTTATATGGCTTCTAAATTTGCTAGTTTAATGTGCACTGAACGCTGAAAGTAAGACAATCCGAATACAAGTGATGTAAAGAAGGGTCGTCAAAGTTGTCATTAAACATCTGCTGCCAGTTGGGAAATCGTCTTGTCCGTCCTTGTGTTTTATGTTCGTCCCTTTATTTATATTATCGTTACCAGCACGCTCTCCATTCCAAGTAAATAGAGAATCCTGTTGAAAAGCATCCACCAAAAAACATTTTTATTGACAAAAATGTTGAATTATAGCACAACTCATGGTTTTTGTTTGTTAAAATCAAGAACTATATAAGTGTAGGTAAAGAATAGAGAGGGTCAAAGAGGTCATGTCAAATAAGAGGATGTTTCTGGTTTGTCCTTTCTTTCTGCACCATTCTTTCCAAGCAAATGCTGTCACCCACGAACTCCAAGGATCCTGGCCCATTTCGATCTTCATGAGCATTGTACTGGCACATGCTTTTGATATCGCAGCTGTGTGACACATGTTAAATACTTCAGACCAGCAGCCATACAGCCCTTGCTAATTTTCTCATCTACAGCATGAACCAGTGTCGCCAAATTTCAAAACCAGTTGCCGATCTCAGGTTGTGTAATGAAATGCTCACAAGTTTGCTTTGCTTTTTGATACAAAAAGGAATGCTTCACTTTACCCAGCTTTACAGTTGCCCAAAACAAGACAACAAACTTTCGTAAAAAGCAATAAAGATGGTCTTAGGAAGCTGAGAAAGACCAACAGGTTGCACTGTTATCCTCCAGGTTCACCGCTGAGTTGGCTAGCTTGACTTATGGTTCGCCTCGACTGCTGTGAAGGCAGCAGAAAGAAGGAATAAATACTTCTCAACCCAGGGTTTGTTACCCACAGTCCTGTTTAAACAACGCTGTGGGTGAAGAAGTCCCTCCTCCCGTCTGCTCGTCCTCACAGCAGTAGAGGTGAACCGTCGAGTAGAGATCTAGAAGTCAGCAGTGGACCTGGTAAATATCAGTTTATACTTGTTGTCCTTTTCGAAAGTTTCAAAGACATGACATTAGTCCCTTTCAATATAATTTGGGAGGTTCGCAATGTACATGCAATCCTCAAAGCTGAAGTCCATCAAAAGGCAGCAGCCCTCAATGTCATCTGAATCAATCACAGAAGGTGTCAGAAGCTGTGACACAAAGCATTCTTTTATGTGGCCAAGAAACTGAGCTGATTCAATGGGCACTACTTTTGTGCAGAACAGGACACTTTTCTCTTTGTCTGCGATAGTTAGGGTGACAATTTTGTTAATAATAAAGTAAAGGCCTTCTGTTCTAGAAAATACTGTTGTGTCAGATTTGACAGCTCTCACATAGTTTACACTGTGATACTCTTTATACCTTTGCATATCACTCTTAGGTACTCATGGCCAGTCCTTGAGGATTGTCCGAACATGTTCATGAACATGAACATGTTGTTTCTCTTGCTCCGCCAACGTGAAAACGACAACTTTGCCCGTGCCGAGAAGGCACACCTCCCTAACATAAGTGCTCTTCTGGACTTTTTTTTCCCCTAGAAGTCGCTTGGCAATTTCTGTGAGTTTTTGAGGCAGCTGTCAGCATTTACAATTGCATCCACTTGTTGAGCCATTAATGCCCTCTCAACAATTTGTAGTGGTACTCCTTTAGCTGCTGTTACAAGGTTGAGGATGCTCCCATTGCCGGATTCAAAGACAAAGGCTGAATGTGCCCACAGCGGGCCCATCTGCCATGCCGCCTTTCCAAGGTGAAGCAGTTGGTGAATGTTAAAACGCATAAATGATTCACCATACAGACTTGCAGCACTATCCACAAACTGTTGCAGAAGGTGTTCTGAAACACAAGAAGACAAATAAACAAAATGTAAAGAGAGGAATGAACTAGTGAAGGTTACTTATTGTAATGAACTTGTTAAGACCCCGAAACAAAACAAAATGTGGATAACAACATATAACGGTGGGGCTTCTTGCATCTGTGCTGTCCTGTATGTTCTGTCTTCAATCCTGGCATTTCGCCAACGAGGTAGAGAGGGGCTTAGAGCGATAAGCGGGCAGCTGAAAGTGACCCCCACTCGGTGGCCGCCATGTTGCACATTTTTGACCACGTGACCTTAGAGTTTCACGTCTAGATTTTAACGAAGTACCGCACACAGATAGTTGCTTATTGATATTTAATAACAGTACCGACAAGATAAGTTATGTTTCGTTTGTTTTAAGTTCAAAATGTGCTTTTACGACAAAAACACGGGCAGGTTCGCTACAGCTCTGCTAGATGCCATCAGCCACGGTGCTGTATTTTGGGCTTTTATCAAAGCTAGACACTGATCTCTAAAGCATACAGTCTTGATAAATAAGTTATTCACGTTTTTTACAGCGATCGTATTACAAACCTCGGCTCAGTGTTGCGTAAAAGCCTCAGGATTTGGCACAATCACATGTTTAACGGTGAGATCAATCTGATAACAACCAGGAGTGGGGGGGGTCACTTTTGCCTGGTGAACGGGATACCAGTTTATCGCTCTAAGCCCCTCTACCTCGTCGCACTTCGCTCACAACCGCAGGATTGTAATTATTCATTCAGGTTGATCTAGTCTCAACATCAGCACTGTGTTGTCTCTAGCCAGTGGTGCAGCCAGAATGTAGTTGCAGAGGGTGTTCGACCACTTGCGACAATAAAAAATATAAAAAAGAACCTCAAGGGAACCACAAATTCTTGCACTGGCGGTGCATTAAAGGGGCCCTGCAATCATATTTAAGCGTCTACCTTTTTTGCGGTTTCCACGTCTCTTGGGGTTCAGGCAAGCCAGCAGGCACAGAGAGAGTAACTAATTATCAGTGCATCATTATTTAACCGGACGACGTGGAAACCTTCTTTACCGACAAGGGAGACCCGCGGTACCGAAAGTGCGCAAAATGTGACGTCTTTGGTCCTGGGTCCACGCAAGACAGCAGACTCACCAACCGATCACTATGCGCAACCTGCAATGACAAGGCAGTGCCAGCAGAACCGAGGGTTGGCGTTTCTATATCGCTTCAGCATGATTTGGCAGAGAGCATTTCTACGGCCCCCGTGAGCCAGTTAAGGTGCCAGGAAGAGCACTCTGACAATATGTTGTCGCACGCCTCGTTTCATTGCTCTCATTCACTTGGAGGGTCCATCGCAAAGAGTTCTGGCTTCAGCCGCTATGCTAGGCAGTGTTAGCAGATCGAGAGCTTAGGTGTGCACAATACGCCCGCAAAGTCATGGTCTACCCCAACGTTTTTGCGCCAGCTGCCATAGGTTCGCAACACCAAACTGCATTGCAGGCTAGCTTTGGGCAACCTCAAAAAGTTCAGGGCGCATCTCAAATGTGCTCCGACTTCGACTAGACAAAAGGACAACACTAGGCATAAGCACATGCTGCCTATTGTTGTCTTTTCCTCCCTCCGTCCTTGTTTTTTTTGGCGTACAGCCAGGGATGCATAAAGGTTTTCTATCAAAGCCAAATGACCGTTCTACCTCTTGAGATTATTTGTAGCGAGTTAGCCAGCAATTATGCATAATCCACATGGCTACAGTGTCACTATTTGGACTTCTTGAGTGTTGCCCAGTCATGCCTTCCTTACTCGCCCAGTGTAAAACATGATAGCTATAAGAGTTTAAAGTCCTCACCGATGTAGAAAAATGCCTGTGAGTGGGATGAGCTGACGAGGAACTCGGTTATCTGCTTTGAGACTCCCTGGTGCACACAATGCATATAGTCCACCGTGTAGCCCCAGACAATGTCAAATCCCATCAGGTTCGTCAGAGGTGAGGGCCCCTTCACGCCATTGATGTCCGTGTTTAGTTTAACTGCCAGTTGTGCATCCCGAATTACTCCTGCTGGTGTTTGTACTGGTCCAGGGGTCGAGGATAGGTATCACATGCCTCCTGCAAACAACAAAGTGCACCCGGACACCTGTTTTAGCAGACTTGCATAGTGGATGAACTGCATTTATTGTAAGTGGATCAAGATTCGCTCACAATCGGCCTCATACGCAATTTTGAATCCAAATGTGGTGTCTTATAAGAAGTCTGTGCTCAAAATTAAATTTGTTGTTTCTAATGTCTCAGTTTCTCCAAACTGAGTGCATAAAAATATTTAATTTCCTTTAGCTTTCAGAAATCTAAATGAGGTAGCGAATAATAAGATCTGGTCCCTGCAAATTTCCAAATTGGAAAATACTGGGCTTAATTTCTGCTCTGAAGGGAAACAAGTTACACTTTATTCCTGGCAGTGGTGATTCTTACAGCTGTAAGTTTTTATTGCTCAATGTGTCTTTAGGTGTAATTGCACATATGACTATAATTAAAGAGAGACTCAAAATATCATTGCTCCATTTTTAATTAGAAATTATAGTTTCTGCCACCTTCAAATAAAAAGATTTGACGTGCAAATATTTCTTTAATAAAGCTGGATTTTGCATGAAAACAAACACTCTAATGTATGAACGGCTTTCAGAGACTGAAATCTATTACGCTATTACCTGGCACTTCTGATGCAATAATATAACTGAACCATTGAGCTTGCTCACCATTACACTTATTTAGGTACAGTGCGAGCTTCTAGGGTCTTTTTTTTCTCAAAATCAAGGTGGTTGGTTTGAATTTAGAGCAGTGTGGACATTAAAAATGATCTATTCACATGCTCTATTTATCTCACAATGCATAGATTTTTGGTTTCGTTTTTTTTAAAAGAACCAAACCCGCCTGAAGCAAATCTGAGATAAACGTGAAAGTTTGCTCATCAGTATAAATTTGAGCCCTGTACCGCGGCCACCTGTACAGTGGGTTTTCTTACATATGACTGATTTCGGTGTGGTACCTTTTGGAAACTGCACACCCAAATATACTCCAAATTTTAACAAGAATTGGCTTAGCTTTGGTTTCTGGATTTGGCTCTTTTAAGAACAAAAAAAATCAAATGTTTCGGTCTAAAACCTTGTCATTATGTTGCATCACATGCATTCAGCACATTGCTTATGCAGAGAAATGCCAGTGTTGCGGCTGTTCCGTTCTTTGTGCCGATTGTCTCTGGGCTTTCTAGTAGGGTCATCAGCACTGTCGGGGTGCTTGCGTTTCGGCTCTTATTTCAGTCATGAGCATATTGCAAAGTTTATTACCTTCTTTATGCTCAGCCTTTGTGAGGCACCATGGACACCCAAAGAAGCTGTTGAACTGCATAAAGTTTGGCACTGCTGCTCGTGCTGGTGCATCTACGCAACAACAGAGAGTGTAAACGTTGCTGTGGTATGTCTTCATCATGTGGGTCCATGTGAGTGGCTCCATGCTGTGAATTGTTCGACGAATTTGCCAAGGAACAGGGTCATTTTAGGGTGTTTTTTCCCAAACCTCAGACCAGCAAGTGTTGGGTGCTTGAACCTTATTTCAGGAGGAAGCTCATTGATAATGAACTGGACGGGCCAGATTGAGTTTCTTGATTGGAAGAGCGGGCTGCCATCTCTATTGATTATAATGGTCAGATCACCATACTGCAATGTTCCAGTCTTCCCTAAGCTTTCTGTTAACGGCCCCTGCTGTGATGTCATTGATGTTTTCATTTGCGGTAGTTGCATCAATCTTCTCAAGGTTTTCATGAAGTGCCTGCCTGCTCCATATCACTAGGTGCTGAATTTGATTCCGAAGATTCATGATCACAAAGAAACAGTCATTAGCTCGAAGTTTCCTTAACTCGTACGTGGTGTTGCAGATCTTGCAGGTCATGTTCAAGCTCAGAAGTGTCTCACAGGCTTCACAGTAGTAGAAGTAGTTAACGTTGTCCTTGCTCCACAGCATGTGGAAAAGGTATTTGGATGGTGGCATTGCAATGCAACCGAAGAGAGCGTTCGTGATGCACAGCTAATCGTCGAGCGCCGCCCCAGAGAGCACATGAGCGATAACGAACAATGCTAAAAGCACGATGGCCATCATAACTGTGGTACCTGAACCTGGCAGAGGAACGTCGCCAAATGGAAGCTGATCGCCCTCACCCGCGCCCACGGGATTGCCGGCCCCACCTTCTCTGTCGTCATCGGAGTGCACTTCGTCGTCGGAGCTTGGGAGAGATCCATCATTGTACTGACTAACTCCTTCCGATTCTTCAGCGGGTGTAGAGCTGCTGGCGTCGCTTGTCACCCCGTCGTAGTCGTCGGGTATCGCAGAAGCTTCTGGCAACGACTGTTCTCTGGTTTGTTGACTTGTGTCAATTTCGCTCGCGCACTTGTCACGGAGAAATCCACTGACCTGTTCGATATAATGGCTCTCGCCGGCTTCGCGTGAGGAACCCGGGTGAGCGTCCTGGCGCTCCGCGAAAGTTTTGGCACTGGCAGTAGTTTCCGCTTGATTTGCCCGCAAAGCTCTGTTATGCCGTGTGGACCTTGGCACGACGAAAGGCTTCGTCCTCAAGTATTGTTTCTTTCGGTGTGTTCTCCCCATGATTCTCAAGAGTTAGAAAGGCTGAAGCCGACAAGTCTGGTTTTTGTACCAGTGGTGGTCACCCTCTCGTTGGTCCTGACCAGACAACTGGGATTGCTTTTCGCTCTTCGTCGCCCGACACCTCAACTCCTGGTCACTCGACACAGACAACAAGCATTGCCTGGGAACTTTGATCGCTCACCTGACTGAAAGAGTCCCTCTGCTGGTTCTAATGTTCCACTTGCAGTGTAGGAAGGCTTCCCCTGCACTTCGCTTCACTGTGGACGTATAAAGGAAAGTGAAAGCGAAACTATAACATGCGTGAGCATCACGGGGGTGGGGGGAAGATTGGATTTTATTGGATTTTTTGGATTGGATTTTTTTTTTTTTGCACCTTTTTTGTTGGCTTTGCAAGTTCATTTTTGTCACTGGCTAAATAATTTTAATTGTTTTCACTTATAGTAGTTTTTTCTTTAATGTGTACGGCTGTGTACGTTTGATAACAAATACTGCATCCACCGGTTGAAACATTTTGCTGAAAAACCTTATCCATTTGTTGTCCATGTTTGGTCCAAAAAAGTTCCATGGCGCCTGGAAACAATGTGAACCGATCAGAAAGTGCTGGCAGAAACTGCAGTACAATAACTAAACAAACGTTTAGTTATTGTACTGCAGTGTAATAAAGTGTAATAAAAAAAGTTTAGACCGACGAGTACCGACGACCTCGATCCCAAAGTCGTGAAGCTTGCCTAGTGGCGCTCGGAGGCGTGTTAAGAGGAAAATTACTATCCGGCTAATAATTTGATGCTCGGAGGTGAGTGCTTTACTTCCTGTTTCCCACTTAGGTTAGCTGAGGTTTCTGATGCTATTGTCGCAAAGTTTTGCCTTCGCGGCTTTTTTTTTTTTTAGTTTTGCTTTGTTTTGGGGCCCCTCCACGGGACACCCTGACCGCGAGGCGAGGCAGATGAGGGCTTTGCCTCAGAGTAATTCACGAAGAACCCTGCTCCGGGTGTCCAGTGACATGATCTGTGTCTTTCTTTGACATGTTTACGGCCCCTGGTCCACAAACCAACCGAACCGTTCTTCTTGAAGCCCTGGTCCTCGGCAGTGGTTAACTACAAAGAGCCAGGTTCGAGGAATTTCGGAATAGTTACCAGGCGTTGAGTGGGGATGGTTTTTGGTGCCATATAGATTAGTTTTGTTGTTTATGCACTTGTGTACTTCCTTTTAGTTACTGACATTTTATGTACGCGCCTGGTCTTGTTGTAGTGTCTTTGTACATACCTTGTTTTGTTTTAACTAATCTTTTGAAACTTTGTTCGAAATGTGTTTTGTCTTGTGTATGTGCTTGTTTTTGTCATGCTGATGTTTGCTTTGGGTTTCGAGCCTTTTGATTGGTCCTGAAGAAACTCCTCTTGATTGGTCCTTCCACAACCTTCTGATTGGTAAACTGAATTGCTCCAGAATGCTGCTGAACGCAATATAAGCAGCCGCCAAGGGCTCGCCGAGGACTTGGCGCTTGGATACCAAGCCTTGTCCATCACCCTTCCCCTGGAAACCAACCTCTACGTCCGACCCCCCTTCGGCTCTGGAGTCTTCCGCCCCCTAACTCGCAAACTTAGGATCCCTTACGGTTGTGGAGGGGTTCGGCTCGCCCGCCTTTGTGCGGATCCTTGTTTGTTGAGTTTGGCTGTGGTCGGGGCACCCGCTGAGGGTGTGTGTGGTCGAGGAGGACGGCAGGGGAAGTCGCCAGAGGTTAGGAATATTCTCCAAAGTTCATTGACGAATTGGTGACGCCTATCTGTTGCAAAAGAATCTATCTCATATTCGTTAAATAAACTGTTGTTTGCTAATATCAGACTCGTCATCAACGGAGAAAAAGACGTCCATTTTCTCCACGACACTATCAAGAAAGAATGAAAACATGACATCTCGGTTTCAGTTGGCGAACATGCTTCGTATTACTTTTCTGTTTGAAAGTTTATTTTGATGTACTCGATACTTTTTTTGCTTATTGTAACGGAGACCAAAAAAGATCTGATCAAGAAGATGCAAGGTGCCCGCTTAGCAATTCATGCAAGGTGCCTGCATAGCAATTCCCGTCATTATTGAGAGCACTGAAGTTCGACCAAGAATAAATATTTGTGTATTGCATGGTATCTACAACAGTTTTTTCTAACTCCGCTAAATCTTTAACCACTCCATGTTCCTAGGCAAGAGAGTGCAGGGAGTTTGTGAAAAACTGAACAGTGTTTTTCGGGCTGCAAAAATAAACTGGGCATCACGGCGAGCTCAAACTCTGCAAGAATGTAGACCTATCGGCTGAAGCAAAGTGCCGAAGTTTCAGAACGTTGCATCATCAAAATAAAAATTTATGGGCAGTTATTGAAAATGTTTAGGGAGAAAATGGGGCCACAGCATCTCCTATTCATCTCCGTATATTTGCAAGCTTTGTCTGCAACCAAACTTTACACAATTTTGTGTAAATTTCGGTTTTAAACATATTTTTAAATCAATGCCAGCAATCAGTGAAACAATATATATAAGGGGCACTTAAGAAGGTTTCTAGTACCCTGGTTACACAAGTGCTCTCAACTGCCATTGAGTCCACGACAGTTGACTCAATCGCAATCGGCCGGAGTTACACAGCGGCGCCAACTGTCATCAAGCCGCTAATGACAGTTGAGGTCAACTGAGCTCCCTACCTCAATTCAACTGAAGGGACTTCCCCAAACGGAGGTGACATGGCACCTGTTTGCGGGACCGCTGTCGCCGACCCCATCGTTTGCGAGGCACTTACTGTTTTGAAAGAATCGTAGCAGCAGATATTCCAGGAAGAAAGAGGTTTACGTGTCTCAGCTGCTGCCAAAAACAATCATGGCTAGCCAGCAAGCGACCAAACAAGAGAAGATGGCGGAGGGACCAGCTGTATAAATGGACAAATAGTAATGGCTGCACCCATCATAGCGGGCGGTAGCTTGCACCACCTACCCTAAAATATGCGCAACCTAGCCCTGAATCTGCTTTGGTACTTGTGTAAACGCTGCTAAAAGCAACAAGGTATTGAACAAATTGTACGATATACTTTATATAAATGAAAGGTGTGTCTCTGAGTACTTTAATAATTAGACTGATCACGTGGCACAAGAACTAGTTTCGTTTTAGCTTCAACTGGGTTCTAGAGAGTCGTGTAGCACCATCTCAGTTCAGTACAATTCAATCACAGCGGGGCTTATAGCTGTCGTAGACTCAACGACGGTTCAAAGCGCTGTGTAAGACGGTCTATTTATGGCTAAAACTCAATTTAGGTGCTTCAAAGCATCAAACAAAAAAAGAAAGAGAAAAAATTACAATGGTGTGTAGCCTATTTGACTATTGAAAATGTGATAAAAGGTTGTGATACCTCAGACCTTCAGATGGCCCCACCCGAGCCTGGCCGAACGTGGTTGAACGGCGCCCATCAGCTGATCATGAGTGATGACTTCTCGTGCTCTAATATAGATCGAGTTAAAACCATAAATAGACAATCTTGGACAGCTCCTCAGCCCCTTCAAAAATGTTGTGCCTCAGTCTTGCCATATGTATTGCCATGTCACTTGACCGGTAGTTTTCATGGTCTCCAAGCATGCATGTAAAGTGAGGTTTTAGGGCCTGGATTTCCTTTACATGTTTGTGGCATCTTAGAAGTGGAGAGCGCACACACCAAGATTGTAGAGGTGCGTAAGAATCGTAAACCAGAATTTCATTCATCAGCTGGAAATAAGCCCCCCCCCCCCCCCCCCCTTCTCCCCAAGCCATTTTTTGCATTATCTTGCCTACTTTTCATGAGACCTTACCAAATATGTATGCACAACAAAAGATGGCAGTGACCAGTGCCTAAGCCTTGGAAGTACCGGGCGCTGGTATCTTTCCGCTGTTGTCGTCATGCAATTGATGAGGGTACATGATGAGTAGCCAAGAAAATGGTGTACAATATTGCGGAAGCCAGGGAAAGTCACTTTCAGCAGCCGGTTGATTGTTCTAAGCTCCTCTATGTCATTGGCACGTGGATTGCTTTGACCGGGCACTCACACTTTGTCGAGTGCACAGGCATCTCTTTTCTGTTAGGTGTCGTAAGGATGCTATTTACGCATATTCAATAGCTTTTCATTACACTAATGTCAGGGGCCATCCTGTCCTGCACAAAGTAAGTCACAATCATTCTTGTAACGTTTATTGATTTAATCTATGCAGCTGAAAAAAGGAGCTCCAAAACATTTAATTCACATAAGCCCTCATTTCAGTTCTTGCTCACACTATTGTGGCCTAACATACAGGTACCAAAAGAGCAGAAGAGAGATGGTCCCAAGGTTCTTAACAGTGGCAAGGAAAATGGGCCACAGCCAGCAAAGCCTGAGGAGAGGATTCTCCCTCTTCAGAGCCAGCTGGAGGAGGAAAATGCGGCCTTGCGGGCACAGCTCGTGGTATTGCAGGCGGAGGTCCTGGCCGAGCGGCAGCTGACAAGGAGGCTGCTAGGAGCTCTCCTGGACAAGATCGGTATGCCTCTTTCCTTTAGGAGCCCTTTTTTTAATTTACACATACCATTGATAGAGTAGCGTAACTCAGCAGAACGTCTATTTTTATCACAAGCGTAGTTCTTTCTACGTGAATGATAAGCATACTTCCCACTGCCCCATATGTGGGCTACTTTCCGTGAAGTTTTTGCAAGCATGGCTCTGTGCAGAGGGGTACAGAACATGCAGTGCATGTGTACCTGGTTCTTTTATTATGCTGCTTGGTGCTTCAGTTCCTGCATTGACGGTAGTTGGAGTTTTCGATTGGAAAGTACTGTCACACTCAGGTCAACCTCACCTTTTCGGGCGCACCCATGTCCTTAAAAAGGAATGACGGTGTCCTCCGTCTCTTTTTGCACGACGTGTGTCCAGAGGTTAGCTGCCTTGCAAGCTTCAGTTATAAAAGAGAGCTGATCTTTCTTCTGCAACCACAATGTGTTGTACAAAATGAAGGCATTCACAATTTAAAGGTCCACAAAGAAATAAAAAAACCCTGTGCCACTATTTGAGTGCCCGGCGTCCGATGGCGTACCTCTCCCGCAGCTGGTCGAATGACCAAGAATGAAAGGCGTCGGCCTTTCATTCTTGGGTTGTAGGTCGCAACAACCTCGGGGCAGGTGACAGTCCTCTTCGTCCCACCTTTCTGCGTTCTTGAGACAGCTGACATATTGATTGGGTCGTGTGCGGTAGAAAGCATAGTCACTGCTTTGTTGTCCATCCACTTCGTTGCGGCAACATTGCCCTTTATTGCGAACTTCGAAGAACCTTGGTCCATAGCCTCCTTCTTCCCTAACCATTGTGGAAGTCCCTTCCCGTTTGGTCTGACTGTGCCACGCACAAAAATTATGTCAGCAATCAAGGGCCTCCATGAGCGTGATTGACGTAAACAAATTGTCAAAAGCCACAAGGCTTGAGGTGTGACTTATGACAAAGCAAAGTTCGAGCACAGCCCTTTCACCGAGCTCGAGGGAAGTAGAAGTTTCGACCTTTCTTGTGTAGATGCGGAATTTCAATACGAAACCCGTTGTAGAGTCTGCCAGGAACCAGGCTTTGTACCCTCTTTTCACAAGTTTCATCGGCATGTACTGCTTCAAGCTCAATCTGCCTTTGAATGGTATCATGCTCTTGCCAGCAGAAAGCTTCGATGATGGGTTGTAGGCCCTGCTACATGATCTGTTGATTTCATCAAGCAGGGCTCTCACTTTCTGGAGCTTGTCATAGCCTCATTCTCTACGAGACTTCGCAGATGCGTTGTCGTTGACATGCAGATTTTCGACAATCTACTTAAATCTCTTTGCAGGAAAGACATCTTAGACTGCCTTTACGTCGAGAGCTGGGTTGGAAATCCAGTAGTTTGAGGAGTGAGAGAGCTGATGAATACCCATAAAGATCAAACATCCGATTAAGGCCCTGAGCTCTGTTTGAGTCAGTGGTTCCTAGTTTGTGGAGGCGGAGTTTACTTTTCTGCCGTTGCAGCGCTTCACACGGTCTTGTGACGCATAGAGATTCGTCTGTTTGACAATGTTGTTGACAATCCCATCGTTGAAAATCTCTTCGAAACACACCAACACTGAATCAGCTGATGTACTATTGGCCTTCACGGATGGCTCCACATCAAAAATAGGTGTCCTGCCAGCGAATGCACTCGAATCGTAGCTCCAATCGACGGTCACCTCTTCCGTGTCAGTGTCACTGTCGTAGTGGAGTTCATCCTGGTCGTTTGTTTCTTTGTCAAACTCGAAACGTGCCTCACTGATGCTAGGCTGCACTGCTTTATTTTCCAGTGCTTGTGCTTCAGTTGAAAGGACTGTTTCTTCTAGATTCTCAAATTCACCCTCAGCGTCGCAGTCTTGTTCGGCTACGGAATCGCTGCACTTATCAGGGAGGTTAAAGAACAGCTCTATCACCTCTTCCTGTATCTTACCCTTACAAAAAATGTAATGTGGCAAAAATATGGGAAACGCACGACAAGAAGTCTCGCTGTAGATATAATGCCACTTTGTATGAAGATATGTATGTCGTATGCCATTTTCATTCCTTCGGGCATCCATTAGTTGGTTCATTCATTCAATCATACTATGCTTGTAACTCGATAGCCTATAGCTTTCTGTGAGATCAGAAAGGCTAGATGCCCGACAAACACAAAGTTACATTTATCGATGGACATGCAGACTTTGGGTCTGGGTTAAATGCGAAGAGAGAACAAAGCCTCCCGCACGTCTGCCGCACAAACTGGGCGGGATATAAAATAAAAACAAAAGTACTCCCCTTGGTGGGAAAATACAACATATTTTTTCTTAGTGCAAAAAAATCCTAACAGAAGACACCACGTGCTGCAGATCAGAAGCAAGCTTCCCTACAGACATATTCATACCATGAGCATAGTCTGGCGACAATGATGCGCTACCGCTTTATTTTATATTAGTGGGGGGGCAACATTGTGTTGACACACACCGTGACAGAAAGGATGGAGGCTGTCCTTTTGCAGCGATAGTAAGGGGCATCCCATACTGCAGTGAGGATGAGACACCCAGTCGCTAGGCAAGCGGTCTTGTTGTTGCTGTGGTGAGTGGCATTAACGACTGCCACAAGTGCTCAGTGATTGCTGCAGTAGGTTGGCAACGACACTCGATGAACGTCGTAATATCCTTTGCTAAAACAAGGTTGATAATACTAGTACCACTGCGGGACACTCATAGTAGCCTTTATAGGTTTGTACCGGCGAGGAGGGTGATCTACGGCATCGACATTCAGCCATGCTGTCTGCTTTCACGGCGGAGATTGATAATGCGCGACGCATTGCAACATTGCAAGCCCCACAAAACGTCCTTAATGCAGGTTTTGTTGTAATTGCAGTGGTACTTCAATGAGTGCGGGACAGGTCCCTCTTTGCTGTTGGTCTGCAGTAAATAGGCGTCCTCTGGACGGTTGTCGCGAGCCACACTGGCTTTTGGAGCCCTCAACTCGAAATGCCTAGAAAGGTAAAATCGGGCAGACGACAAACAAAGTGAGGGTCAACACTGAAACCTTTCCTCCTCGCACAAAGGTCTCCCGTGCACCTTGCAGAAAGCCTATGCGTGCGCGGTTGACATCGGTTACGCTCGACGGCAGACGACCATTGCACACCCCACAAAACTTACATAATGCAGCTGTTACTGTAAAAGGTTATGTATGATATTTGTGTGCCTTTATGGACTCAGGTTCCTTAATATGAAACTTGGGGTGTTTGCATTGCAACATTTTTGAGCAGCCTCTTTTTGTATATGGCTCACAAGCCGCCAATGGCTGGTGATCCGTACATGCATCACCTTGGTTTGCAAGTAGCCCCTGCCTACTGAGATTTTTTTTGTGTCTTGCTTGGTAATGTAGAGAGGAATTACATTTGCAGACCTGCTGGTTGCCCACCCAGCCGTGCTGTCTGGAGTGGAGATTATTCCCCAGGCTTCCTCTTCCTCGTTTGTTGAGGCTAGTAAGTGGGATCTTTATAAAAAGGTTCAGCATGGTAGACTTCTCATAGATACTTTATGGGGCACAAGTTTAACTGGGGATCTAATTGCAAGTTTGAAATCGAGCAGGTGACTCTGCCAGCCCAACACCATCAGTATTGGTACCACCACACCTCGCACAGCCAGTCCTGCCACGGCCACTCCTGTCGCAGCCAGTTCTGCCGCAGCTAGTCCCCCCACAACCAGCTTCGGCACAACAAGAACCAGTACCGCAAGCCCTGGCACCGCCAGTCCCGGCTCCACAAGCCCCAGCACCACCGTTTCTGGAACCGCCAGTTTTGGCACCACCCCAAATTGAAGTACAAGAGCAAGTGCCAGCTGCACTGCCAGCCCAGGAAGAGCCTGTAGAGCTTCCTGGCAATGCTGCTGAAGTTCAGGTGAAATAATTTTTGTGTATGCCTATAGTTGATGACAGTTCAAGAACGAAGGGCGAGAAAAAAAAAAGGCTGCAGAAGAGGAAGCATGCCCCTCTCTCCAGCCTTCTGCCACCTTCTTCCTCCCAACCCTTAATTTCCCTCGCCCTTCGTTCTTGACTTTTTGCCGACTGTAGTTCTGTGCAGTGGCCAGGCAAAGAACTGTGTGTGACAAACGGCTGCTCTCAAACTGCTTACCTGTCGGTAAGATGGGGACTTGGAAGTGTTGCACTTATAACTGAATGTCTGACAGCTAATGTAAGGGTAAGTAGTGCAGCGATTATCGATGGCACACAATATCTGAAATGTCAACATTCTGAAAACGTGCTGAGCCATTTCTCGGCTTCTAGTGCGATGTCAACAAATGGCATTGCACCAAATCTGCGTTGCCATTTCTTGGCGAAAAGAAAATAATTTAATTGGAACTGAATGTTGTAAAATGTTTTAATGTGGGGGACCTGTTCTTCTGTTATGCACTTTTGAGTAACACCCTGGCTGGCTCCCATGAGGAGCTGGTCTTGTTTGCAAAAAACTAAAAAAACTGCCTTAAAAAAAACCTTTTTTTTTAGGAAAATGTTTTTTTTTCAAACTTTTTGGGGTACTAGCACACCGCTCAATGTTTTATTCAATTTTAGGACACCTATTTTTGCGCTTGCATATGAAGGAGAGAAACTGAGCCTAACTATCTGCGTTCTCATCTTATGGGCCTCCGAAAAAAGAAGTGCATCAAGGGTGACGTTGCAAAAGAATGTTGGTTTCAGTTGGAGGAAAAGAAAAACTACAACCGAAAAACACTTAAAGGAGGTTCGCAACATTTCAAGGTTGACTTGACCCTTTCTTCTAGGGGTGCCTATGTGGAATAGGGCAGCAACAGCTTCAACCTCTTTTTTTTCTATCTCCAGACATCTGCATCGACTTACTGCATTGCATCACGTCGCAATATCCGAGATATCCTCCCCATTGTCTTGTTTGAAGGGTGGCCATGGCAACTTGTAATCACATCTCGTTGCAAGTGGACACAGCGCAGCCAAACGCTAATGGCTGAACCAGCCTGTTCAGATATTGGCATTTGGATAATGTCTGATGCAAGATTTGATGCAAGCGCTCTGGGGCTCCCTGCCTTCTGACAGATTTCAAACTCTTTCAGAGCAGATTAGCACAGGCGTTTTAGAAGACAGACTGCCCACTGCAGTGAGGTAGCTTTTACATCCAAACCCTTCCACGCTTCCTTATATATATATACATATATATATACATTTACCAATAATTGCATTAGAGGAAGTGCTTGGTGCTAGCATATAACTAGGGTTTTTTGTTTATGGGGTTTTTAATTTTGAGTAAAATCAGAGTGGAGTTTTGTTAGGAGTTTATTTGTGATCATCAGTTCGGGGGTTTCATTTGTGGTTTCACAAAATTCGGAGCTTTTCGGCTATTTTGGCGATGCAATTAAAAGGTGGAAAGGGCAGTTTGCAAATTTATTATATGTGAGACGTATTCAACTACAGTCAGGGAGAGGCTACCTCATTTTTGTCATAATGAGATAACATTTTTAGTCATGTCTTCAAACGGAAGTTCTCACTAAATAAATGACAAATGCAAAACTTGTTAGAATTTTGCAGGAAAATGCAAAGACCGGTCAGGGTCATAATAACGGGCAGTTCCAAAATTTGGGGTTTGCCAACTCGGATAAATCTGATTTGGCAAAATCTTTACTGCCGATTGATTTTTGCATTTTATCAGATTTATCCAAAAATGCAGAACCCTATAGACCTTTGCAAAAACAGCTCGCTGGCCGCCGCCATTTTGCGACTCGAGCGACCCCTATCAGCCAAAAATTTCTGCCACTCGCCTGAGCTGTGGAAACCCGGTCAGCGCGACTCCCCACCTGCATTGTGTGTTCGAAGTTCGCCGGCTTTCTTTGAAAGTGTTTACTCTATTTGCCTGTTCAGGATGCTTGCATGTTTTTGTAACCTTCCACTGTGAGAACCAGGGAATACCAAGGCCCGTAGCCTGCTCGACCTTCGCAGGAGACGAACGAAGAGAGCGAGCGAAGAGAGCGAACGTCAAGCAGCCCGTGACGCGGGCCGTTCGACGTTCTTCGAGGATTATTTCCGTTGAGATAATCTCCGAAAAGCCTTCCCGGCTATGTTCTGGGTCTTCGCGAAAATTGCTGATAGGGTCGGGACCGGGGTGTGGGGAAGGAATAGACACGTTCGTTCATTTGCTTCAGTGCTGTGTAAAAAAACAGCACTCTTCAAAACGTACTCCAAGACAAGCCGGATTCCGTCCGATCGTCGTGAAGTGACTGTCGTCGACACTGTATATTGGATATGCTGTGTTACTTGAGACCTTTCTCAAATCCTGTTCGGATAACGCGGCACCGTGGGGTACGTACAATATATGTTCTTCGATTGATGAGACTCGTTGAATTTCATATAGTGAGCGGGCAATACCCATGCAGTTCGGTTATCCTCTGGTGTGGTCCAATAAGTTAGGTGTATGGTGCCGTCAAAAAGATCCGCATAAAATGAAACAAACATTCCAGTAGCATTTGTTCTGTCGCGCACGGACTCACCAAAAATAGCTTTCATTTGTTTGTTTTTGTTCCCAAAAATAGTTCAATGCTTTCTTAAAAACTTCGAGAAATTCTCTTCGCCATAGAACACAAAACAAAAAATAAAGCAAGGTGATTTTGCTGCCACCAGCGTTCAAAACTGCTCCTACGCACGCTTCCACAGCCTACTGACGAGAAAACCCACAGCTCAGCGCAGTTGGGCAACACTGACATACACTCTCAAAACCAGGGACGCGCGCTGGAAATCGCTTCGTTCGAGACTGCCGCTGGAAAGGTCTATATGTAACATGTTCTGTGCTAAAAGCAATATTTGAATATAGCTAGGCCTTGATTAAAATAGTGGAAGGAAAGGAAATTTTGTATGAACATAATTTCATAGTCTCTAATCACATCATATTAAATTCACTTTTTATTAACATCATGCAAACCTCCAAAACTGCCAACTACATATCTCTATGTGGCTTCCACCTATGCTGCAATGCAAGTAGAAGCTTTGCATGTCAAGCTTCATCCCTTCACGCTGGCTTCCTTGAAGGAGTGGCGTATGCCCTCCTTTAACTTGATGGACTGAAATTTTGCTCATTCCCACATGTCGACCCTATGATAGTAGGCTGGCCCTTAATTTTAAGTTCTTTTAAATAATGCTTAATAAAACATGGTAACTACTATTTAATAAGAATTTTAATTGCTTGTGTGAGATGGTTAAACATGATGAAAAACAGCCTCAGATAAACAGGGACGAAGAACGGGTAAAGAATACGACAGGACAACGGCTGACTCGCAACTGAAGTTTATTGAAAGAAAAGTAAACCCAAAGTGAACCTTTGGTTCTTTTTTGGTTCACTTTTCTTTCAATAAACTTTGGTTCACTTTTCTTTCAATAAACTTCCGTTGCGAGTCAGCCGTTGTCCTATTGTATTCTTTACCCGTTCTTCAACCCTGTTTATCTGAGGCTGTTTTTCATCATGCTTAACTGTTACCAACTGGCCCAAATCACCACCCTACAGGAGATAGTTCTATCGTCATACACATGCAAGGTCACTTTCTGCTTAGCAGAAAATCTTTCCTCAGTATATAAGCCTACAGCACAAAAACAAAACAAGTACACAGACAGAGAGCACCATCCTTGTCATTTTGTTTTCTTATCTTTTTATGTGTTCATTCCTTGTGCACTGTAGGCTTATACGATGCATCACCAACTTGGTCAATCTGCCACCTTTTCCTCAGTATCGTTTTCCCCATTCCTTCTAGCTCTGCTCCTATTTCCAAAAAAGCTAATGAGGGAGTTTCTCTCCTCAGAAAAGAAAACAGGCCTCATACTTTATGGGAGAAAGTAGAAATTTAAGGGCTCTTCCTACCTTTCTGTGTATATGTCAGGTCTAAGCATAGAATCACAAGCATTCCATTTCTACTTTCAGCCATTTCTTGAGCCCGGTGACATGGAAGCGTTGATGGATGCAAGCACAGACTCCATCTTTGTTCGGGACATCAGCAGAAAGCTATGGCCGGATGACCTGAGGAACAGAAGCCTCACAGGAACCCCCTGCCGTCGTTTTTTGAAAAGTGGCGCATTGGGAAGGCGAGCCCTGAGTCCTCAAAAACTCAAATATGTTCGCTGTAAGTAAGCATTCTTTTACCTTTGTTTAAAAACATTAGTCTCTTCCTTTGTTTTGCTGCCTTTTCGACAATTCAAAGTATTTCTTCGAGCGTCAGGGCGGTCTGTTTCCTACACATCTTCGTGCGCCGCAGTGTGCCGGCACATGCTGCAAGCGTGTGGAACTGAACAACCAGAAATTTACGAGCATTCAGCTTGTTGACTTTCGCAAAGACAGGAGCGAGCGCGGCAGATCAATAGCAGGGGCACGGAGAGAATATGGGTAATAGCAGAGCACGAGTTGGCAGGAAACTAAACATTGTCATTGGTTCATAGAACAAGAAAGACAGAAAGGGGAATCAAAGTGGAAAGAGAGGAACGGTGGCGCAAGGGGAGATCATAGGACGTACCGATCTAACGATGGGATGAATCTCTGGAACGTTTTGCTGCTGCTGCCTTGGAGATGTGCGTGCCTGTGTACGCCTGCATTGTTTGGTTCTCAGTGTTTTCCCGCAGGTCATCATATGAACAAGGACAGGTGAATCTCTCGACGTGTAATATAGACATTGTTTTTATAAGGAGCTAGCCAGGACCGCATTAATTCATCGTGAAATACGGGACGTTGCATAAACCAGGGATGTATAATTGAGGTTCCACTCTAATGTGGGCCGCACCGCTACTGCGTGGAAAAATCTGAACTCCCAGCTGTTGAGCTTTCCTTTGAAAGCTCTGGGTTGAGGTTAATTTATTTTTTTTTTTTTTTAGATGTGATTATGTGTGCCACTTTGCAAAGTAACTGTGAGAGCCAAAAGATGTAATACCTTTTCATATATGCAAAAAAAAAAAAAAACTTTTCGTGGCAGCTCTGGTTAGCTGAAGGGGCTCCTTTCCGTCCACATGTCCATAAACCGCGCGAAAAACAGTAATTTTTACTCAAAGTTCAATTAACTTTGAGGCATCGTTCACGAAATGCAAATGCAGTGACCTTTCTCTACAGGCTTCGACAGTAAAGTAAATAAAAGGCAAATTGTGTTGAGTGCTTTGAGACAGCGAAAGGTCAGTCTGCCTCAGATTGGCGCCAAGTTTTCTGCTGTAAACGAGCCATTGAACCAGTGCAGTATGACTGCTAGCCTGAGGTCTTTAACGTGCATCACACAGTAGTGATTACACGCACGCGTGCCAGTACAATCGAACCCAGGATCCCCGAGTTCTACATCGTGAGTTTTCGGTCCAGGTGCTCCGAGCTGAGACGCGTTAGGCCACTCGGCCACCGTTTTCCCCCCGACAGTGAAGTCATTAATGTAGTTATATGGCATGATATCAAACATCACAATCACAAAATCCCATGCCCCCATTTTTAGGGGTTTCTGATGCTTCATTATCAAATGAGCTAGCATCATGCTCACATGTATAGACCGTTTTATGGTGGATAGCGTCATTTTGAGACAAAAAGAAGAGGGGAAAGAGTTACCGACGCTTTCCCCCTTGCTGGTGTGTTTGAAAGAGGGGAAGTCCCGCATGAGAGTCTTCGCTGGTGTTGGGCGTATGCATTTCATGAACTTAGTTCGCGCTTTCTTCTCAGATTTAAACTCCCCGACTTAAAAGAAGAGCCACGGGCTTGAATGAAGACAGTCCTCCGGTCATTGGGCCACCATTGCTCGGTTATAGGGTGCACAAGTAACGACGGAGAGCGTTGAATACTGTCCGAGGACCTATGTAGCTTGCACGGAATCCGGCAATGCGAGTGCGGCTGCAGTGTCTTTAAGCTCCATCACTTTCCACATGATCCCGATCTCCGGCGGCAGTGGGTTGCATCCGTAAACCGAAAAGGCATTGCCCCAACACCATCCTCTGTGCTAGAAACATTTTGTGAATGGAGCGTGCACCGAACTTACACTGCACCGTCGATGAACATGGGGTTGGCTCGCAAGGTGCATGTAAGTTTTCTCGTAATAATTGGTGTTTCACCTTGTAACTTTTTGTAACTGAGTTTATCTTAATATTGATATTTTAAAGTGGTGACACTGACTCGATTTTATCAAATACAGTACTTAGTTGAAGGCTCATTTCCACCGCCGGGAGCGCCTGGATATTGTCGAAAAGTTTGTTTCTTTGGTTTTCCTGAATCGCAGTCTCTTGCGTGATACCAGAGAGCTGTGAATTTATGTTGACCGTCATTGTGTGACTAGAGTGTTCTTATTTTCAAAATTAGTACATAATGAGCTGGAAAGAAACCTTCAATTTCTGTTGCTGAAAGTTAAAACATGCTCATGCATCGATTTTGAATCATTGATCGACTCGCTTTGGCAGTAGGCCCATCTAATCTTCGCTGTTTTCAGTTCTCGACAAAAGACAGAATCGTCGACACGTTTTATTTGAGGATCCCGTGTCAACGAGTGTGTCTCGTTGGCAATATTTTGACTATTTAACCAAAATCTGTTTCTTAACTTTTTAATTAGTGGTCTTGTAAGCCTTGTTGCAATTGCAGTTTTAAAGGCAGCCTCTGTGAGAGCCTAACTTGATAGACCTTTCTAAAAGCCGGCGCCATCTACTGCTGGATGCACGAACTGCGCCTTCGCCATTGTTTGATCCGTCTCCCGTACGTGCCCGTGTGAGAGCAATGTAAAAGCCATTTTGACACCAATGGAAGGTGCCTACTAATGCAAATAACTAATCAAAATTAAAAAAAAAAAAAAAAAATTTTTTTTTTTTTGCTTAATTAAGACAATGTCACTCACTTCCAAAGTTTCCATGGGGGACATACTTAATATACATCACGTTTCGGTTCAGTTTGACCGGATCATCGCGTTAAAAATGGCGTCTCCATTTCGGTGATTCCGGTGCAACGCATGCGTATAGTGTACGGGAAAGGTAATGCAGCTACGCAAAGTATGGAGTAATTATCAACATTGACGATAGCCAATACCTAAGCTGGTAACCTCTAGCAACTGCCTGTACGACTAGCTTTTGAGGTGTCTGCATTATCGTTTGTAGGCTAAATGACGAGCTGCGTTTCTGATGACTGCATGTCGTCGCGTCCCCTTCCGCAGCCTTTGCAGTATGAGAAGTGCACACGGAAGCAAGCTGCATGTGACGCAGCCACTCGTAGCGACAGTAAATAGGTGTAGAATTTGTAGAGCAGCTTATGGCTGCTTTCTGAATCCAGCCCGTCTGGCTGTGTTTCAAAGCACAGCCTCTTGAAGTATTGGCACGTCCCTAGACCACTGCATATTTTCATTGGACATTCCGGTCTTTGAGCGCGTGACTGACTCGGATCACACACTGGAAGGTCTCGGCAGCTCGACAGCCTCGACGCGATCACAAACACAATGCCCGAAAAATGGCAACATTTCTGCTTTAAGCACTTCCACTCCCGGTTGCCAGACTGACTTTTGAAAAATTACTATTTTAAAAATTTCCAAAAAGCACGGGGCTTTGAGATATTTATTGATCAAGTTTTGCGTTTTTTTGCCCGATTCAAGAACCACATGGTGGGAGCAGACGAAGTGTGGAGTGATGTAGCCGTTTTGGGCCATCATCACATTGCCTTGGAGGTGTGACAGCAACCCATCCATCAACTACACTGTCCAGATAGTGATGACCTACGTGAAATGGCTGCATTGCTTTTTTATGCACTGATCAGTTTGTAACTTCCGATGTTCTATCCACTCTTGCTTTAAGTCCCGTCCCATTTTGCAAATTGTTTTTAGGTTAGGTTAGGCTCTAATTTTAGCTGCCTCAAAACTGCAATTACGACGTGGCCCATGAGACTGCCAATTAAAAAGCTAATGAACAAATTTAGGTTAATAATCAAAATATTGTTGTGGTTATCTACCCACCTAATGTCCCCCGAGTCCCCCAAACACCCAGTGAAGACAGCATCAATGTAGCAGTGACCTCTTTTTCAAGAAGCTGTTCCAGTTCTTACCTGTGTTCTGTTCTTCCTTACTTTTTTTTTTTTTCTTAATTCTCTCGAATGTTGTGCAAGGTATTGCATCCACTGGTACAATCACCTACTTAATATTACATTATATTCCAGGTGCCCTTGCGACGTACATCAAGAAGAACCCGTCACCAGTTGTGTCGGCCGCCCTGAGGCTTCGTCAGCTCAACACACACATGCGGAGGTTGCTGGGAGACGAGAACAGAAAGCGCCACTGAGCAGCAGCAGCAGATTCTATACTCCATGTCACTAGTTGCGTGCAGTACAGGCGAAGGCAACGCCAAGCGAGGGGAGAAAGGGCAAGCACTAGGAAGCTGGCTAGGAGGAGAGAATACTCTTCTCTAACATGCCTAGTGCTGTCCCTTTGTCCCCTCATCCTCCGTCGCCCTCCTCTCCGGTCCCACCTTCCTAGTGTTCAGCCTTTCTCTCTTCTGGCGTTGCCTTCGCACCTGCACTGCATACAACTAGTGACACAGGGTATAGCTGCACTTTTAAGTGGGGATGGTAGGGTAAACAAGTCATCTTCGTTTTAATTTTGTATCTCAAGGACTACTGCATGTTTTATTGCGAAATTTTATCTAGTGAATGGATACACTTTTGGGATTAACTTTCTGTTACTTTTTTACGAAAGAGTTTTTTTATATTTTTAGTAACGAAGTGTCACATCTTAAGCTGAGTTCCAGTTTTTATTGTACCTTTTAAAAAAAAATAAAAAAATAGGATGCTCATTTAATTTGGCATATATCTTCTGCATGTTACTGGCTCTGAACTGAACCGAAAAGAAAATTAATTTGAACATGTAGCATGCAAGAAAGAAATATTGTTCTTTCTAGTCATAAGCCCAGTGATGCAAGTGCTGCGCCATTTGTGCCAAATTGCGCCACGAACGAAAGTCAGCTATATCTCGTGCCAAAGCGTCATTTTCGCTCAAAATTGCTTCATAACTGCGCCAGGATGGGCTTAAAGCAAAATATTAAAGTAATTTAATATTGGTCAGACCTAATATTTAAAAAAGTAGACGAAAAAAAGGAAAAAAATGGTAAGAATATATTTCACGGTGGTCTGAGCACAATCGAAAGCTTGAATGCATACAAGCTCGAACACACATGTGCGAGTTACGGGGCATTCACTGCACCCGATTGGTTTAGCCAATGAAAAAACTCGTACAGGGAGATGAATGCCATGATGTCGTGCCTTTATGCCGTTTGATTGGTCCCATTGGCTCGTAGAGTTGGCTGTAGTGTCGACATCAGGTGAAACAAAGTATAGGGATTGTTCGTCAATCACTCTGGCTGGTTGATGCGCTGGCCAGTTGATAGTCGACATTGTCTGAATTAGCAGACGAGATCTGCGAGGTCAAGACTACAAGTCTCGAGAAAACTTTGCAAAAGAGTAGGATGGTGGTACACTGTGATAAGACAGAACCAGGATCTTGTGCTTTTGGTGAAATCACTGGACTGTCATGTCTGCCACATGCCTTTGTGCGGTGACTGCAGAGTACCGTGGCACTTGCGCCACTCCGGTCAACCTTCACTACATCTCGCCCCACACGAGCGTGCATGCGTCGGGCTTCACCGCTTTGCACTGGAGTGCTAGAAGCAGCGACTGACCTGTTGGAGGGTTAGTGCAAGAGGCACGGAATTCATTCTCAGGATTATTACAGATCGACCTTCTTTGTCTTCATAGCAGATTAATCTCTAAAAATAATTGAAAAAAAAACAGCAAGAAAAAAGATAAGGAGAAAAAAAACCTAGAAAAACACAGCTCTATATTTGAATAAATATGGTGGTTCTTGTGCAGCTGTCGAATGAACAAGCAGCCAACTTTGATTTAACTCTAGTTCCAACGCCGCTGAAGAGCAGTGTCACGTTTAAAGGGGTACTTTGGCCGTTTTTTGAGCCACCTAAACAAATAGCATTTTCCGACTACCCGCACTTCAGTCGTCATGGTATGCTATTTATTTTCTCGAAATTCAAAATAGCAATTGAGAAAACCGTAAATGCAGATGATGCCGAACCCAGCATTCAAATTTTTACGCGCTTTTATGTGGTGTGACGTCGCACATGGTACAGACTTTCAGGTCGTGCCTGTAGTCTTAAACAGAGTATGTCGAGTGTTTTTTGCGTGCTTCTCAGTGAATCAGTTGCCAAACATTCTTTTCCCACCATCAAACGTCTTGTAATCAGTTGGGAACATGGCTTACTGCCCACTTTGTACCATTTCTGTCGTCACACTTCAATGTTGCCAGTAGGGGCTCCCGGTTTGAGAAACGTGATGAAAACGAAAATCGAAAATTCAATAACTTTGCGAATTTCTTTTCTTTTCACACAATACTTGGGGAACTCGTAGAGCCATGTCTATCAGCGTGTTGAGCCAATTTTGAGGCAACTCAGTGACCATGAAAAAACCGCTGGAGTCACAAGTGTAGGCTTTGACAATATTTATCAGTGGTTTTTGTAGTTTTTGATATCAGAGTTTTGAGTTTGGCAGGTTCATAAAACTTCGCGGACGCGTTTTTATTGGAGTAGCGGATATGCTGGTTTTTGCTGGCATTTTGCAGAAATTATATTTACAGGCCAATCAGACTACCGAGCGTAGAACGGGGATGGGAAAGAGGCTTTATCGCAACTGAAGGGTTGGGCTACGATTTATTTTTCAACCATTTTCAGTTCCCGTTTTAAATGGACCCACTCTGACCAGAGCCTTATTTAAAAAGAAGGCTATCTGTTCCTTTTGCATCCTATTTATTTTTAGCACGAAATGTGATAAGTAATATTTTTCATTATCTAAGGGGAGCTGGGTATCGTTATCACAGACAAGCTCATTTAGATATGCAATCACCTATTTACATCTGTCTTAAAAGTGTCAGCGGCTGCTCTGTACCAATATTTTGAATGCTACAGAACTTGCTACAAGGGGTTCAAATCCTACTTCCATTACTGTAGGCTATATGGAGAAACTTTTATATTTTAATTTTTTCTTTACGTTATAATGTAGTGAATTTTTAAGACATTTAGGTTCAAACTGTTGGCAAAATATTTTACTATAAGCTGTAAAAGTTTTAGTGTACTAAGATAAGTAGTTTCTTAGTAAAGGTATATCAAATTTCCAAAAATTTCAAAAATGTAATTTTGAGTGCGCGGATCTTGGCGCCATATTTAAGTGGCTTGGGACGCTCGTTCACTCTTGTTGCTTGCTGGTTTTGTTCTTCAGACTGAATATAATGTTTTATCACTAAAACTGCAAAATCGGTTTGAGCAAGAGGCAGCAAATGTTTGGAATATATTTATAATTCTAGTCTCCTATATTTTTAAGTCACTATAGAAAAGCAAACATTTTTAATATATTTGTAATCTCGTCTTTTAGGTTTTTATGACAAGAGGCAAAGCTCTTAATATAGTACAAGGGCAGAAAGATATATAACCGCTTTAAACAAATTGGAATGGCAGTTTCACATAGTTTTGCACCTATGTGGGAAACTGATGTCATCATGCAAAAGTTTTGTAATTTATTTAAAGCAGTTAGGTTCATTTAAGCTCTGTAGCATTTGCAAGTCTAGTCTTTTAAAGACCGACGACCAGTTCGCGCTTTCCACTTTTCCCCCGCTTCCTCCTCTCCCCCCTTCTACGCTGTCCGCCGTTGCCTGTTTCCTCCTCCCCTAGGGTGAGGAGGATATTCTGCCTTGCAGAATCGCGTGTTTGGTCGTCGGCCTTTAAGGCTGTCTTGGCAAGAAGTGAATAGTATTTTTAATATATTTATCATTCTAGTTTCACGCTATGCCAAGAAGCATAAAATCGGCGTGTTTATGCATGCCATATATTTCTAATTTTGTTGTTTCTGGGTTCTTGCACATGATTCTTATAATATATACATAATCCTTTTGTTGTCAAGAAGCAAACGGCGTTTATGATCTTGTATGCATCTTTATAGTGCTTTAATTTACAAAATAAAAAGCTGCGTTACAAAACTGGAGTTTCTCTGAAATTAAAAATAAGTTGGAAACCTAGCTCGTCAGATAGATTTGTGTAAGAAAATCTACCAAATCATTGCATTTACACTGTCAGCGTTTGACGATGACCTTGAACAAGGTTGCTTGCTGGTTCACCACCTGTGAAAACACACTTCTATACAACTCACTTCTGTGCTTAGTCTCATATTCTGATGTGCATGCATGGTCTAATTGACTTGTATGGTTCTTGTATGAAGCAGGTATATGGAGAAAACTTTCACCCATATGGTTCCACCATGCTGTTATCGCCTTTTCGCTGGAATAGGATGTCCCCATAACACGTTATGCTTGTATGGTTTTGTCCGCCTGCATGGTTCTGTGCACCTACATTGTTCCGTTGTAATCCACTCCGCTCTTATATGATGTCCCATAATACGGCAGGCTTGTATGGCTCCGTCCGCGTTAATCCACTATGCTGGAGCCGCCTTTTCGCTGGTGTAGGGGGCATTCACTGGGCGCCATATTTGAGGGCGATGTGTAGAGCGCATGCTCGGAATGAGCTCTCATTAATAGGCTGCCAAGACCGGCAACCTGGATGGTGCAGAATGCACGTTGCGGAAGAAGCGTGGAAGCTCGCCATCAGCACGTTCTCAGCAGCCGCGCACACAGCTATGGCCGCCAGTGAATACTCCCTATAGGATGTCCCATATTACGGTTACGCTTGTATGAGGCTGTTTTTCATCATCTTTCCGTCCTCAAGATTTTCCAACAGGGTACAGCATTTACGTGGATTCGCGGAACAAGTCCTGCTATGGTTTGAGTGACGTGTGGCAACTAGTCAACGATGACACTGGTCGATTATCGATAGACCTCTCTCTCGACAGAGAGAGACTTCTCGGGGTTTGTGTTCAAAACTTGCGTGGCGGATATTGCGGGACGTATGGATACGATCGACAGGTCAGAAACAACTTATTTACGGGCTTTCTTGGTCATAAAACGAAAATAAAGTGCTGGAGTCGATTTTTTTTTTTTAAATCTCGTGATAGAATGGAATTTTGTTCTTGGTCGTTATTCTTGTGCTGTTGCGTCGACATTTGTAAATATGCGTGGTAATCTAGTTTATAGTGGAAGGTGAATAACAAGTTTGTTGCGATTATTGAAAGTGTGTGGTTTGTGCTTATGTGTTTATTTATACTAATGTTATTTTAATGCCTTTACCATATTTATACTAGAACCTTAACTGTATTAAGGTAATAGTATTATTGTAAAGGTGTTGCCGAAACACACTGCACGGTTACGGCGACGGTAACGCTGCTCAAGTCGGAAATGGGCGCCTAAGAGCTGCGCTCTAAAAAAGAAGCTTGACCACAATGTCCAGGCCCTTTGCTGCCAGCACCAAGAGGAGGCTAGAGAACTACGGGAAGCAAAACAGAGGCTCGAGGAAGACAACGAAAGGCTCACGGAGCTGCTGCAGTCGTCGAAGGAGAGGCTGAAGAAAGCGGAGGAAATGTTAGGTAAGTGATACATACGAAACCTACGGGTCCCCCAGATGGGGGGTTCGAATCCTGGCCGAAATGACCGCAATCTAAGATGCGCAGATGGCGCACGGTTGTATGAATGTCAGGTGGTCGAAATTAATCCTCAGTCGTTTGCTGGGGCCTGCCAGATACCCCTCGTTCGTTTTCACACAAACGCCCCTAATTTATTCAAACACAAGCCATCTCTTAACTCCAAAGAGAGTTTTGGTCGGTCCGTTTCGGGTGACCTTCCGAAGCTGTTGATGTCAAAATTCCTGGGACGATACAGTTCTACGGAAAAAAATCACCAAGTTGGGGATTTAGCAAGGACCTTGTGTTCTGTTATTCGACGAGGTATCAGTCGTTTTACGGTGGTAATAATAATAATAATAATAATAATAAAATTTTCAACAAATCTCTCGCAACTAGTCTTTTAGCTAACCAACTGTAGGTCGTAAAATATTTTACGAACGTTGCAAGACGCGGTGCTATATGGTGGATTGTATGTTCTCTCATTTGACCGAAAGTTTGCGGAGACGTAAATTGGCAACAGCGTCTTCTTCCGGCGCTTAAAGGAAAAGATGAGGTATACGAAAGATATCGTTGAATGCGCTCTTACTAGGTAACAAAAACACGCTTTCCATCATATGATGGTGCAGAGTTCAAGTGAAATATTCATCCTCGCGAATAATGTTTCATCCAGTGCTCTTCCAAAGAGCACTGCCGACATGGCAAGAGGTGTTTCCAACAGCATGCTCGTATGCTTTCCGGAAACCGCCCTATGGGTCCACTCTGGATGTTTAATCAGTAGTAGCAGTTGGAATAACGCGCCTAGCAAAAAAGGTACCCGTCACTCCGAGT